GTCAGCTTCCTCGCGTCTCTTCCCGACCGTAGGGATTGGATCCCCAATTCTGCCCTCACGGCTGCATTACTTGTGCGCCTGGAGCATCCTAGGATGGTTTTCGCTGCTTTCATCTGCGCCGCCTCGAGTTCTTTCACTACCTTCTTATTTCCTTCCCATACTTCTCCGGCGTACTCTAGTGGCGGTACGATTACGCTCTTCGAAACCGTCAATTTGATGCGTGTATCGAGGTGCCGGTTTGCGAGTATTGGGTGCAGCTTCCCTGCTCGTGCTTCGCCCTTTTCCGCTACCTTGGACCGGGAGTAAGGGGGAGTCGGCCAGACGCGTGTTTCGCCACTGACCACTCGTGAGTCAACCCCGATCGTAGCTAGTCGCATGGGTCTGCCTCACGCGTGGCCTACGACTCTGTCGGTGGCGATAGATCACTTGTCGGCTTCGCATGGGTTGGGATTAAACTACATCGTGTTTTTGCTTGTTGTTGAGTCATGATCCAGTAGGGTATGTAATACCTCACAGCAAGTTATTATTTGCTGAAGTCCCGAGTACAATATGTGGGCTCCATCTTTCCATTTGGGTTTCTTCTGCTCTCGTTTCTCTCAAAGAGGCTGCTCATTCCGCCGCGTTTCGGCGGTACCTTCATCTGTTTTTTACGCGCGCATAGTCTAGACTAGTATGTTTGTCGGCTCTTTCGAACTGAAGATTATTTTTCCTAAGATTATTTGTTTGTTTTCATCGGGTTCATCAATCATATTGTTCTCTCGGTGGACCGGCATGCGAGCGGACACCTTCTTCAGTTTGAACTGGGATGAACGGTCGTGTCGTGCCCGTGATGTGCTGTACAGCAGCGTAGGGCCACCAAGATTGTTTTAGCGTGGCATTACATCAGCAGTAGGAAGCGTGCGCTGTGACGTAGGTACAAGTGTGCGTTGATGACTCACTTTTCGGCACACATCATCATCATCTGTCGCTGATCCGTTCACCTGCAGCTGATGATACGTGTGACATCGAACGAACGCTGTAGATGCAACAAGAAAAAAAGCGTGCGTACTTCTGCACATAGCACCGATTGCTTGTGGTAGTTGTTGTTGTTTCTCACATTAGCTCTAAAAAAGAAAGATTAGTAGTTTGTTGTTGTTTGTTGTTGTTTCTCACATTACACAGTTTCGGACCGGGCCTCAAAATTTTCCGAAATAAGGAAACAGATTTCTACATAAGAAAGTTTCCGGGAAACTTCCTGCAGG